CGCTAAACCTTTTTAGCTTACGCTAACAGATGTTTATAACGCTAACGCTGTAACGCTATAAACAAAAATCGCTGGGTTGCATTCAAATAACATTTACGCCGATATTAGGCCGATCCCCCTCCCCCCCCCCTTCCAGCATGTTCATGAGGGCAGAGATCGTGGAGTGGCGTCGGTGGTTTGGTAGATCCTTTACGAGGTAACCTTCGTAAACCTTTTCCCTTCCGTGAAAGTTCGTGAACCGTCACTAACCTGTTAGACAGATAGTGGAAGATAGTACCGGTGAAGACCTAACTTCAATTGTTACCGACATGTACACCTCGTGTCTGTCAACTAACACAGACTACTGACTTGTATTCTTCTCTTTTTTTTTCTTTCATTTGTTTTAGCGTCGAAACGCTAACTAGTAAAGGTTTGGTCGCTAGCTAAATTTTAGCTAATTGACAGTCGGATGCACATTTTACGTTATTTTACTTTTCAGTACTTNTCCCCAAATACAGAAAAAAGTTTTACATATGTATTTTTTGATCCTCACATATATATATATATTGTTTTCCATTTAAATCCCCTGAACCTGCAAACACAACGCTTTCTGTGCATGGATCGCTGTGCATTCGTGTGTGGGTTTTTTGAGACTCCCCTGACGGTAAGCCGATTCATACTTGTAATTGTTTCTATCTATAGCCAATCAGATGTCTCCTTCATTCTAAGCCAATCACATGAGCGCGCCCCCACAAGGGTAGATTTCTTGCGTTCATGACGTAGCGCTTCATGTACGCATTTTGTGCTGTCCGGAGCTGACAGGTCCATGGAGCCTGCCTGCAGGTGCTAATCTCAGGACACCACTCTCAGTAGTACATTGTCACTTTCCGAACAGGAAATTCACGCAAATACAAGCCTTTATATTATTAAGGCACAGCGCCACTTTCCGAACCATTGATGAATGCTTGTGTGTACACAAAAACGGCAGGCAAAACCGTTTTAGATGTGTGTTTCCTGTATGGCGAATACAGCTGCTTTATTTATGTCTGTATGAAGTTGTTGTGAGTGTGGAGGGAGCAGCTACAGGTTAGCTTAGCCTAATCGATCAGTGCACTACGAAGACAGTGCTAGACAGTGAACTGTCAATGGGGGGAGCCCCGCCGGTCATTATCGGCCGATATTCACTCTTAATAGTTTGATTGGTGCTCTCTATAAAGGCCGATCCGGAGAGCTGGATCTGATCGATATCGACGTAAACGCGAGTGAAGTAGGCTATAACCGGAGGCGAGAGAGAGATCAGCTGCTGAGTCTGATGGAGACACGCAGCCCTGCATGATCACCTGATGCTCCGCCCTCTGTTTAGCGAGCTGACCGGACAGCGCAAAATGCGTCCATGATGCGCTACGTCATGAACGCAATAAATCATACCCTCGTGGGGGCGCGCTCATGTGATTGGCTTAGAATGAAGGAGACATCTGATTGGCTATAGATAGAACAAATTACAAGTACGAATCGGCTGACCGTCAGGGGAGTCTCAAAAAACCCACACACGAATGCACAGCGATCCATGCACAGAAAGCGGTTTGTGTTTGCAGGTTCAGGGGATTTAAACGGAAAACAAATATGTGAGGATCAAAAATACATAATGTAAAACTTGTTTCTGTATTTGGATTTTATTTACAACGGAACACATTTGTGTGTGCATTGAAAAACACAAGTGTGAATCCTTCTGTGTGCATGTGTGTATTATGAGACAGTTCTGAGCCCATACAGTCGGGTCCGTCCGTCTGTGTCAGTTCTTTGGTGTCAGCTTGGTGTGTCCCTACCAACTGTACTCCCTCTTTTCCCCCCTGTTGCGCGGCACTTCTGGTTAGAGGAGTTTTTACTATTCTCAGTGGTTCTCAACTGGTGGGTCGCGACCCAAAAGTGGGTCACCGACCCGTTTCGAGTATGTCGCAGATGTGTGAGTGAAGGAAAAAAAAACTTGAAAAATAATATATCTTTTTTTTTTTTTGGGAAAAAAGTCAAACTTTTATATTGAAGGCTCAATTTTCTAACACTGTGCATGCAGTAGGCGTTGGACTGGAAGTACCATAAACAGTGTTGAAAACTTACTGTCACGTATTGATAATTTTCTCAATAAAACATGTTTGCTGATGTTTTTTCAAGTCTTCTGGCCTATCAGAATCAAGATTGTTGCCGGAAGTCCCCACGGAGAATAACTACGGTAGGACTACCCATGGATGTATAAAGAAATCCATGGGTACAACTTCAGATATGACCCCCGGTTTGATGATTGACAGGTCACAGAACAATGGGGGCTATCTACCCTACCCACAATGTAGAGTATCTCCTCTTTGCTCTTCTCTCTGTGTGGAGCAGCAAGTGCAGCTGTCAGAACAAAGTGAAAAACAAACAATGGCATAAAATATTATTAATATGTCGGGTAGTAATAGATGTATTTATGTTCTTCTCGGAGTGTACCAGAATGCTTAGTTTATATGTTAGTATTTCAAAAAATCCCCCTAGACCCCCTGCTGGGGTTGGGTTTTCAGAATGTGTGCCTTTTCATAATACAGTTCAGCTTTGATTCCATCATCTCATTCAACCTTTTTTAAAAGCATTTTTGGTTCTGTGAAGAGATATATGCACTGTACTTCACTTTAATTAATATTGTATGCTGAAAAGCGTATATTACAGCACGATTTTTTGTTGAATAGATTTGAGTGGTTAAAAATTTGGGTCGCGATGTATTGACAAAGGAAAAAGTGGGTCCCGAGGCCTGACCAGTTGAGAACCACTGCGTTCATTCACTTAGTTCCTTAGCTCATGTCAATAGGTGCTTATTTCCTAAAGATGGTGAGCCTTTTTTAAATTTGTCTTGAGATCTTATCATGTCTTTTGTTTTGTTTCATATTGATGTCTTGCTCTTTAACTATATGGGAATATAAAATAAACCTTTGTTGAAATCACAGAACATTTCCGGAACCATCTCCTTATACTGAATGTACCAGGCTGCAATAAACGTGATTAAAACGACTATCACTTAACAAACAGATCATCTGTGAAGACATGGGTGCAGTGTCCAACTGCAACGATTTCTGCCTGCCTCAGTATGCTTTTTTGTAATATAAAGAAAAAAAGTCCATGAATGTGTAAAAAGCTCCATACATGTTGCAGCTCTTCAGAAGAAAGAGGGGCCTTGGTTGAGATTTTTCGTTTTTAAAGTGACAAAGGTCATGCTAGTTGCCATGACAGCCACAGCTAATTGCTCTTACACAAGTCAGTCTGAGAGTGGATGGCCAAGGCTGAGGATGCAGACAGGAAAGACAACAAAAGAAGTTTGGCGGCACTAGATGCACCCAGAAAATATTTTCTGGACCGTATTTGTAGTTGGTTTTGTTCAGCTTGTATTGAATGTTTTCATGTCGATGCACAGCCTGTTTTTACAGTTTTACACGATTGAGATGTCAGGTTGGGTATTGTGTACATTTGTGATATGACTCGAGACACTTTTATACATAACTGTATACCATTCCTATGTTTAATTTTAAAGAGCTAATTACTGGACATTTCAATCTCTCTCAGATAGATAATAGACCTGCTATTCTCTTATTGGGGAGAACCCCGGCTGTTGCTAATGAAGAACAGCTTGAGCAGAGCCTTCAATCTGTGACGCTGACAACCAAGCCAAAGATCCTTATAGTTGCCAGCTCGGCTGTTGTGTCCTGTCTGTGAGGTAAGTCAGTAAATCTGTCAGCATTGCTAAGAAAAGCAGAGGGGTCTGTTCTGCTAAATCAGGCAGACAAAAAGCTGTGTAGCCGCGGCTATGAATCAGAGAACAGAATGTGAGAAATTGCCTCAATAAACACACACATAAGTAATCACTAGTGCATATTCGTACATACTGTATGCACAGATGCAGTCAAGGGCACACAGACAAAAGCCATGGAAGCACCTACACACCCACCTTCACTTTGCTGTTCTTAAGCAAACAACCTTAGGCTCAGTGAATGAGCATGTCAGCAGTGTGGGCTGACATACTGTCACATGAAGACTGTGTATGGAGACAGATGCCTCCTCAGCCTCCTCCTGTCCATTTACCTAACATACAAACACTGCCTGATATATCCTCGTTTGTCCTTCGTGATTTGGATAAAGACACTTCAAAATTCAAGAAAGACGGAGGATCTTTTTCTCTGTCAACGTTGGAAGTGAAAGAGGAAACTAGGTTAAAGTAAAAAAGGAACTTCAAAGGCATGAATATGTAGGGCGTGTACAGGAGTGACTTGTGAAGGGAGATACATGCAATCTGCACCCAGATAGACAGGTATGTCTGTGATTGAGTATTATGGGCACCAGAGGAAGAGGAGGCAGGCGCAGTGCCAGGGTTCTCCCCACAGCCAGAGACACTCTAATTAAGGAGCACAGTGGGGAGAGGGGGCGAGAACAACAGCTCTGCATTGTTACATAATGGTTTTCTTATCATCTCTAGCACAGGAAACATCGCCCATCGCTGCTCTGATGTGTGTGCACGTCTGTGTGTTTCTTGGGAGCCTGTTCATGAGCTGTCTACTCACACCTAGAAACCAAAAATCACCAAAGCCATGGTGCTAATTTCAGCGCCTGAGAGGGAGGATATTCAAGTCCTCCTGCCACAACAGAGCAGAGCCACGTTTGATGGAAATGAATGTAAGCAGTTACAGATGTATCGGTCTTAATCCATACCCTGAGAGCTTGTTTTCACTCTGTCATCAATCCATTTCGTAGTGGAGGCTTGTCACTGGCCATTTGCATTGATGCAAGTATAATCCGCCCACATCATTGCTCTGCATAATCATTGATACATATTTATATCTCTGGTAACATTTCTGTAATTCCTTGTCCCTAATACCAGATGTCCAGATGGACAATGACAGGAACGGGAAATACCTGCAGAGAAGGGCAAAGAGTCATTCAATTCAAGTATACATTTTTGCGAAAGATAGCCCAATTTAAAAGTGCGGACAAAATACTGATACCATGCCATTTTATTTTAAGTCATATAATTTGCATTTGAACAATAATGCCTAAAGAAATACAGTCAGATGGTATGATGTGTTCTTCTGGAACCCATCTTAAGCTTTCTATCTTATATTCAAATGTAGCTTACATTTCCTACAGTGTTTCTCTGTATATTTGGTTCAGTGCTCCATTTTTCTTTTGATGTCACAATCTGCTCCACTATTTAGAAAGCTCAAACTGTCACTGTAAGCCAGTCTCATGTTAAAGGCATATCAATCACACAGTCATAGAATATATACATTATAATAGACAACAACAAAACTAAAGAATGCAGTAAGGAATGTGTTTTTTCACATAAAACGAAGGAAAGAAAAAAGGAAAATGATTAGCAGATTAAAAAAAACATACAGTTAATGGAAACCTGATAAGAGGACAAGAGATGAAAAGCTGAGGACAAATGGATGACTGATGAATTGTGGGAGAAAAGGCGAGGGGGGGTGGTACGTTTGACCAGATGGGTTCTGGTCTGCTCTGTGAGGGCAGCAGATGCCCTGAGATCCGAGGCCACAGGAACGCCCCCAGCCGCTCAACACCAGAGCCCAGTTACTGTAAGCCTGTCACATGTGCACTCTTCCTGATACTGAAATATGGGTTAAAGCCGTTTCCTCATCACATAACTCCATGCTACTGCCACTAAGATGATCAGCTGGAAATGTTTCAGATTCAGTTGTAACTCGGTTTAATGCATGCCCAAAAAAAATCATAGATTGTGTGTCCAGTGTTCCTGCATGAAGAGATATATAGCTCCTCTGATTACAATGTTTTCAGGTGTTTTTGTGCTTGTGATGGGTAGGGCACTTGTTACAAATGTACCACTTAAATCAACAATAGATGAGCATTTAATTGTTTTATCATCACCATGATTTCTTAAATTGAATGTGTGTGTCTGTGCATGTAACTACCACAACTCAGCTTTAACCATTAAGCACCTGACTGAGATGAGGAGCGGATCAGTTCAATGTGGTCAAACAAAAGGTGATAGCAGTTCTCTCCGTCACACTGTGAATACGTTGCTGCTAAAACTGCCCCGAGCCCCATAGAAACACATGACTCATCATCTATAGCAGATGCTCGGCTATCTGACTGACTTTGGGCTATGAGGTTTGGGAGGTGCTGCAGGGCTGAGGGTTTGTGATGATGATACAGCTGCATACGAAGCAGACTCCACATAACATTTCTTTCTAAAAAGGAGAGCATCGCCCTCTAGTGTATCCACAGGCAAAAGGCAGGAATTCAGAGGAAAAATCACAAATGTTTTGAGATTTAAAGACAGTTCTGGACTCCATATACTCTTGTTTGACACTAGTGCATTGACTGATGTAGTCAGCACAAAATGTGTTATTATGGTATTAGAGGTGCTATAGGATAAGACTGGGGATATTCTAAAAGCGTCTTAAAATAATGCCAAAATACCCTGCCAAAAGCAATAAGGCATACGTTTACCCATCAATACTTTCTGACTTTCCTGCCTGACATGTTTTAAACTGTACCAAAGATAGGAGAAATATGTTTTTTGTAAACTGCTAAATTGTGTCCTCAAACAGCTAGTAAATAGTGCATTTGTTGGGGGTTATGTTAAGCCACGGCATAAGTGAATATCATATCAGCATTTAAACATAAAAAAAGTTGACGATACCAAATACATTATCATCTTATTTCTCTAGCAAGCTTTAACTATCAGTTTGCTAGGTAAGTAATTGTACCACGTGATCTATGTCCAATGTCCAGACCTGTGATCCAGGTTTCTAAAGATATTAGGAATAACAAAATCTGATGATTGGTACAACCCCTTTCACTTAACTGTAATCTTTGTTTTGTTGGATCACATACTGTACAGGTTGTGGTTATAGGGTTTATTTGCATAGACAGCCACTAACCTTCATTTCTCAAGATAATAGTTCCATGTATCGACTTCATAGAGTAAAAAGTTAAGCGGCATTCATCTCCATCCCTCAGGGAGTTCTGCACAAGCCTTGAACTTAAAATCAGAGACTTTGTAACAATACAAAGAGTCAAGTTAATTTGAAGGATGTCTTCTCATTGTCTTTACTCATCAATCATCCGGTGTGACTCCTTTAAGACAAAGCTCCTCTTGAACTCTGGACAAATAATCTGGATCTGGATATCCAAAACTGCAATGGAAAAAGACAAGCTGCAGTAAGTAAATCTCAGGATAAAGACTGTACCTTAAGCTTACTGAACCTGGATTTTTAATGTATCCATTGAAATGTATCTTGAAAAGGCTTTGCAACATAGGGTTATACAACTTATCCCACCAAATGTCAAATTTGCTAGACATGTTACCTTTGTTGTTTTACTTTGTTGATCTCTCCACTTAAATATATAGAGCCATCTTCAGATCAGCTTTTTTAATGTATTAAATAGTTGTGTCTATAACCAATTCCTCACCTTTCCCAGCAGGCTAATCTGTCTATGAGTTTGAATAAAAATATAAATGCAAAATATATATTGTATAGTTTTCTTCGGACCGAACAGGGATTTAAATTGCTTCTGAATCTGAAAGGTAGCTTAAGCAGTCCAAAAATGTGGAGTCAAGGGTGTAACTTTGGTTTGAGAAGTGGGGGGGACACAAAACAGGGGGTCCTCCGCAAATAAACATTTTCTCAATTTAATTCCATTTCCTGCCTTAATAAATCCAAGAAAAATGTGTAGTATATATAATGAGTGTGCACACTTATCTAGTATCCTATCCATGTGAACCTGTCTTATTTGTGATGACCTCACATCCTCTGGGGGCATGCACCCGGGAAGATTTTTTTTTTAAATTGAAGTTAAAAGCATGGATACAGCTCTCAACACTCATATGAAACAGAACTGTATATATTTCAATAATCAAAAAGCCATTAGAATATGCTCACAAGCAATAACAAATNAGAGAAGCCATCTAATGGATTGTTTTTTTTTAACTTGCCAACAACACACCACACTAATGCTCATATACAGTATATACCACTCAATATTCTTTACATAGTGTCAGTCCATGGATAGCATCAACTACTAAATCTGTACACATAAAAAAGGATTTTGATCCTCATCAAAGCATCAAATATTTATTTGACATGACTTTAACCCCTGAGCCTGTTTTTCAGGTCTCAGGCTCGAAAATGACATTCCCAGAACAAATGACCATCTTCACTTCTAAAAGGGGGAAATTAATAATCTTTTTTCTCAAAGCAAGGTTACATCTGTGAGTTGGATGTAGAAGTGTCAGAATAAATATAGATGTTTTTATTTTAAAGTGAATTCAGATTGAACACAGTAAAAAAATGTAAATGATAGTGTCCGTCCAAAAAAAGAAATTATTTATAGTGAAAACCACCCTTCAATGATGGGATAGTAGACTAAAAGCTTTAGGAATCCAAACTATAACATATGATACCCTGTATGAAGATTGATGCAAAACAAATGAAATGTGACCTTTTTAGAGAGATTTAGAAGAAAAAAACACTTCTGGGATCATTCGGGTGCATTTTCCATATCTCTGGCCCTGCTCGTTCGATTTTGATGATTGACATCTCTTTTTAACCGTTAGAGCCAATAGAATAGAGGGGAGGTTCCTAAAATCCATCTAAACATTACCCATTGGTGAATGAGTGCTGCGCAGCCAGAATGCCCCGGACCCGGAAGCTGCGATACACTCTAGCTACCATTAGCAGCTAATATTAAATCTCCGATCTTTATATACAAATTTAATTATGGATTATCAATATTTTTTTCAAAGTCACATACACATTGGATTAATATATGGATTAACCTTCAGCTGCGTTTTTATCGTTTTAATGTCATTGAACACGACTTTTGATAAGAATAACAGCTAAGGTGAGACGATCTCCTGTGTTTGCTCCGTAATGCTACGTGTTGTGATGTCTGTGTTTGCTTCCCCTGTCGCGAGTTATGATCGCTCAGTTATGATACTATACCTAGATAATCTGTGGAATCTCAGCTTTAATCGGATATCTTGTATGTGCAGTTACGATGAGTAATAAGGGTATTTTTACCTTGAGTTCTGTGCTAAGTGCGTTAGCATTTTTTCCCTCAGGGGTCATTTAGACGCTTCTTATGAAACATGCGTTTTGTTTTGGTAAAAATGGTTCGTACTGTCAGTTAGCTGAGTTTCTTCCCGTTAATCTAGTATGAAAGATTAATAGGTTTTTAAGAAGCCCTTAGATACAGTTTTGTGAAAGAAAACCCAGCAGCCCCCTCTACCGGGGGCTCTCGGGCTTAACAGGCTAAGGGGGGATTCAGGTGATAAGGTGGGCGGGTGTTACCTTGGTTGGTTATTGGCTAATGGTTGCACAAAGTGGCCAAAATCTGATGAGCTCATTTTCAGGTTTTTATGTAAATGTCAGGACAAAAAGAGAGAATATTTTTTCCTGAAACTTTCATAATCTTTTTACACAGAGGGGACATATTTATGTATAAAGACATGAAAAAGTGGATGTTGCATAATAGGTCACCTTTAATTTTGAGTTTTCGTGTAAGGATGAAAGAATGTAGAGTAAATCTGCCGTCCTACTCAAGGCCAGGAGGAAGTAGAGTCAGTCACTTCAGTGGTTCGTTGGGGGGAGTTGTAGAGAAGCCATCTAATGGATTGTTTTTTTTTTACTTGCCAACAACACACCACACTACTGCTCATATACAGTATACACTCAATATTCTTTACATAGTGTCAATCCATGGATAGCATCAACTACTAAATCTGTACACATAAAAAAGGACTTTGACATTTTATTTATTTGACATGACTTACACATTTTAGTTTATATCAAATAGCCGAAAGCAAGTTCTGACCTGGTTTCACAGGTTTTTAAATGGACAGACTAACAGGTTCTGGTGTTTAGAGGGTTTAAACTCTACCCTTAGGAGGTCAAATGGTCAACACTTCACACACACAAGTAAATATAAATAAGCCTCCGGAAGGCAGGGTACTCTGCCAGTAATTTGGAAACAGAAACAGGGCATTTGCTCTTCTTTGTGAAACATGGTTCATTAGACAATGGAAACGGTTTACTAAAAGATTTAGAAGACAATGTGATTAGTGCCTTTATAAATCAAGCCTATAATCATTATTACTGCCATTATGGCGTTTGAAAGCACTGTGGGAGGGTCTGATGGTTTGTGAAAGCTAAAGACACCTTTGTGTTTGTTGTCTCACTGTCACAGCTGTGACAACAAGTGGGCAGAGTGACACGCCTGGCGCTTTGTGGCAGGGGAGACATGATTGCTAATGGGTGAACTCGAATAAATGGGTTTTCAAGCATTACTTCACACTAAATAGATGACCACCTAATTCCCCTTGCTCTTCATTAAAGCAGCTTTCACAGAAAATGGTTGTCGCACAGTCAGCTCAAGGTGGGAAAAGCTTTGAGTGTGGGGAAAGAGGAGAGAGGAAGAGATGGCAGCGGAGGCCATGAAAAACTAGCAGGAAAGATATTGAAGTACAACAGACCATTCTCCAAAATAGCCTCCATTTGAGTTCAGCTTCCTTTGGCCACATGCAGGCACAGGGAGCCAAACAGGAAGTGAACATGTGTTGCTGATGCCTTTTGGAAATAGGCTGAAAGGGGAAACTGATAAAGCTTTCTTACAGGGAGTAGTGAAAACAAGAAGCTTTAAAGGTCCCATGTAATGTTTTTCCGGTTATTACCTGTCCCCTTGTGTGATAGCCTTTTATGCATGTAAACGGTCTGCAGAGTCAAAAACCCTCAAAGTAGTAAATTAGTAGTAGTAAAACTCTACCACAGAAAAGACCTGTCTATGCTGACCCAAAACGCCTCGTTGGAGATTTTTCTTTTTCCATTTGTTTCTTCCGGGAACCAAGTGACGTAACGACGACCCAATGGACCAATTTGTCCAAATGGACCAATACGCGGAGCCGTTACATTACGTCCGCGGAGCCATTACACACACACGTTACACACACACACTCAATATTTTCTCAGGCAGCTGCTGCTCCGCGGATTTCTCAGAGAAATGGCGGCGAGGCTGTGAGTGAGTGAGTGTGTGTGTGTGTGTGTGTGTGTGTGTGTGTGTGTGTGTGTGTGTGTGTGTGTGTGTGTGTGTGTGTGTGTGTGTGTGTGTGTGTGTGTGTGTGTGTGTGTGTGTGTGTGTGTGTGTGTGCGTGCAAGGATGTAACTTTGGTTTGAGAAGTGGGGGACACACAAAACAGGGGGTCCTCCGCAATGAAAAATGTTCTCAATTTAATTCCATTTCCTGCCTTTCTACAAATATATTAGGGACTATATACAAATCCAAGAAAAATGTGTAGTGTATATAATGACTGTGCACACTTATCTAGTATCCTATCCATGTGAGTCTGTTTTATTTGTGATGACCTCACATCTAGGGGGGTCTGGGGGCACGCACCCCGGGAAGATTTTTTTCTTGAAATTGAAGTTTAATGCATCAATCTGGTGCACTTTGAGGGCAACATTAAGATATTTATGGATACAGCTCTCAACACTCATATGAAACAGAACTGTATATATTTCAATAATCAAAAAACCATTAGAATATGCTCACAATCAATAACAAATCATTGATAAACTCCTCTCTCCTATCTTTATCTTACTGCATTCTTTCTTTTTATTTATGCATATTTGACTAATGACTCCCCTTTCAAACTGTGTTTTTTATTTTTGTACTGACCTATAGTACACATTGGAAGGATTTCTTAACTTATTTTATATACAACTAATATTACATAGATGGAAATATTTGTTTACATATATGACCAAACCGTTTGAGACCCACTGAGCTAACTTAGACTAAAGTTTACAATCTAATCACTCAGAGTCCTTTACCTCCCTGAGCTGACGTTATCTCTCTCAGTCCCACAGGAGAGGACTCTCCCTCTCCTTATTGTTGCGCTTTCACACCGCAGTACTTTTCCCACAAAGGTTAATCAGAACTTAGTTCATCAGAACTCTTTAGTTCTGATGAACTAAGTACAGATCGCGTTCTAATCTCTCTCTCACAAGATGCGCTCGTGGGCCACACACACAAAGACGCTCCTCCGTGACGAGGACCGCTTGCGTAAAAAAATAATAATAAACACATTTAAAAAGTGGGGGGGACACAAATAGGATTTTGAAAAGTGGGGAGGACATGTCCCCCCTGTCCCCAGTGGAAATTACGCCCATGTGTGGACTAATAAGTCAACTATTTCCCTGTTGGATTTAATAGAATAGAAGTAAAGTAGAAGCACCTCTAATTTATATTACATACATTACTTTTTCCCCCATGTGCCAACAAGAGAGATTTCTGTACACTTACTGTACGGTTGACAACAATGGATAACTTTACTGTAATGATGTGCATACCTTTGTGGACCACCATCTATGTTGGTCTTATGATGAATGTCGTTCCAGGTGATGACGTTGTTGAGGCCTGTGGTGACGGATCGACCAACGGTGAAGACGAGTCTCCTGTCGAAGGCCTTCCTCAGCAGCTTCAGGACTTTCTCCCCTTCCTCGCTGTCTGGCAGGAAGGCCGTACGAGACGTGCTGCCGTACCTCTTCCCGGGGTTTGGATGTTCAGGCTGTAATAAGGTAAACAAGAGCAAGCATATATATTACAAAGATGATTGACAACTGTGTCTAACTTGTGATTACACCCAAACCTGAAAATTATTTTTATTTATTTTTTGGTGAATAATGTGTGTGACACCTTGTGAAACAGCTATTTAACTGGGAAGGACTGTATTTTTAAAATAACATTTTATAGAGAAAGTATTCCTGGTTCCTAGCATGAGTGTAATACTGCAATCACTGCAAGGTCACCTGGCATTTTATGTTTAGCAACTTTCAGCTCCAAAATCTATATTTTTACTTCAGCCAACTAAAACATTGTTACAATAACGTTTTTGCATAAATTACCATTTGATATTACATTTAAAAGGAATACAGCAAAGCAGACAAAACTATATTAATAACATTTTAGAAGTCTCTTTAGTACTTATACATGTTATTTTTGTTTCACTTTTATTGTATCTTCATGGAACTAGATTACCTTTTTATACTTTGTCATATGTCTACCTTCGTCTACTGTATCACATTATCGTTAGACTTTTGTTATAATTAAAAAATTGTTTGTTAAACAATAAGAAAAAAAAAAAACAGGCATGCTGTGTACTTGTTATCAATAACAAACAACAGCGCCATCTAGTGGACATATGTACAATCACAAACTGCTGATGAAGTCAAACAAACAAGAGCTCTGTTGTGTTGATATGTAGCCTCCTCTGGTAGCTTGTAGCTTAGTGTCAGTCTTACCCCTTGTGTCCCCGCTGGGAAAGTGTACTGTATGACGATAGATCCGCAGTGCTCGAAGCCGGGCAGGCGCTGACAGCTGCGCATGTCCGTCATGCTGCCCTCCGGCTGGTTCCCCGTGTACTCTCCGTAGTAGGTATTGCATATCGGACAAGCAGGCTTCAACTTAAAAACCGAGTCGATACAAGCAGTGCAAAAAGAGTGAGAGCACTTTAACGTTTTCCTCTCATGAACTGTGTCCAAGCAAATCGCGCAGTCTTCCATACTTTTAGGGACAACCGGAGTGGTTGTTTAGTGTGGTTGTCAATATTTTCCGGTGTGACGAGAAGTGTTGTCTTTCCTTGTATGTGTGTGTCGGAAATAATGTGACGTCAAGCTAAGGAAAGTACCAATTCATACATAAGCAAGTCTGAAGGAAGAGGCAGATTTTTTTCGGCTGCGTAGTTTCAAATTCAAATTTCTCCAAAATTACATACCCCACCTCTAAGGACAATAAATTAAATAACACGGCGCTAATGTTATTTTCAACAACTTTTTATTCTAACTTCCTCTGATTAGAAAATGATGCTAAAAGTATTCAAATACTAGTTAGGTGACACACGTTTTTGTTACTGATGTGTTATGGATTGATTTTTTACAAAAACTGTTACTACCCTGGCCAAATAAGACACCTATTTGTATTGGATTGTTGGGCTTTTTTAATTTACTCTAAATTAAAGCACAATGGTCAATTTTAAGTCTGTTTAAATTGTATATCTGAATTGTAATTAGTGATGAATTAATGTGTCTATCAAGTTAATGATTTAGCTGCTAAAGGTGGCACTTATTTAATTACTGTTTATACCACTGGGTAATTTAATTTATAACGAATACATCATTGTTTATTTGTTAATTATATCTATATTATCATTAGAAGTGTGAGTGAATTATACTGCAAGGAGAATTATAATGTAATATGCTAAAATTATTTTAATCAAAATTGTACTGAAGTATTGTACTTTGGTAAATGTACTTACAGTAGGAGTTCAAATCAATTATTGACTATAGGGGACAACCCAAACTCTTTCCAAAGGGACACAAGTTTGATATTCGGTTGCTCGTGATGCACCTGCTTTATTTAGGTCCTACATTGAATATCCAACACAAACCCAAACATAACTTTTTATTCAAGTATTAAAATGTAAAGCACATTTTCTGAATATCAACAAAGTACGAATCAACACAATTAGAAAAAGCAAAACTCCAACTTCTCCTCAACAATCAACTTGTAATATGTGTAATCTCTCCTACGATCCATTCTGCTGGCTCCTCCTCAGTCACGTAATGCATAGAAATGTTTGCACAGTAGCTTTAGTGAACTACAATCCTGTGTCCCAAAAATATTTCAGTTGGTCCCATAACTTAAATACAAAGGGTCTGAAAACAGAAAAAAAAGGGGTCTTCTATGTATAGATCTAACAGGGCAAATGAATGACAGATGTACCACTAGCCAAGCAGGTTACTGCACTTAGCAAAGCATTTTCGCACATACAGCTGTTCCAGTCTGACGGCTTTTCAGCATTATGTTTTTTTATAGAGAAGCTTATTGAAAATACACATTAGTATACATATTTTCATGAACTGTCTTGTATTTGTACTTAAAGGCAGATAGTGTAGTTACAAACATAATGCCGTTTACCTATCAATTAACGCTGAAATATATGCCCAAATTGCTTACTATTCAGTAGTAACATCATGCTAGATTTTTATCAAAAGTGAATGAAGGAAAGGCACAACAAAATGAGATCAATACCCCACCCTAAACCAGATACATTTTTCCTTTTTTTCTGTATCGTAGATTATCGTTTTAGAATTTACAACTGTTCTCTGTTAAATGAGAAGATTAGCTGGCGAATCTCCCAGTTTGACAGGGAAAGAGGCATACATAATTAAAGAGCTTTTGTGCCTTTGATTTGGTTTGACTGGTCTATATGCCCTTTTATCTTTGACATCGTCATAAATCTGGTAATTGGATGAACTCAATACCCACAATAAAGGTAATGTGCTCAACACCTGGGAGACATCTTGAAAAAACAGGAGTGAGCAATGGCAAAAACCCAGGGCGAAGTCCAAATGCACATGGAGAAAAAAAAGGTGCTGCATTGAGAAAATTGAACATTCTTCCTATTTAAGTAAAGCGGAAGTGGAGAAGTAAATTGAATGCAAATGAAGAGTTCCAAGCAATTGACATCAACTTGTAGCCACCGAGCTTAGAGCCGATAGCCGCACAGACCTGTTTGCTCTGAGCACTCTTCCACGTAGAAGAAAAACTATGACTGACTTCACTGAGAAAAAAGACTCTCTTACAAAAGTGCCTGTGACTGCTTAAGATTGCAATAACCCTTGAAAATAAATTATTTCTATTGAAGCAGTGCTATTCTGTCTTATAACACAAGTACTTTCATTACAACAGATAATTAGTAACAATCAACTTAAACATTTCTGAGGAGATAAAACGAAGTATGTGTGCTTGTAGGAAAAAAGATTGTTATCCCCAGAGTAGAAATGAACATTAATATAACATTGCCTGTCTTTATAACATTAAACTTAGATGGCCTAAATAATATATAAGTACCATGATTTGCAACACGCCACGATGCTCTTAAATAAGTGCATCAGATACGGGCCCTGTTGCGAACAGTGACAGGTGGAGGATTGTGTAATACAAGAATGCACTGCACTCAAACTACTTTCCTCCAACTGTAGCACTAGATTAAGCTGAATTATGGAGGAAAGATGAACAAACAGAGGAACAAGTAGTGGAGGGAAGTGGGCTGTGCTGCAGCATTAGACGCCTGTTTGCTGAGGGCCTCGTCTTCAGCCATCCTTTAAGGAACGGGCAGTCTCAGAGCACAACCTGGAGCTGAGTCATGTCCACCGCAAGGACACTCGGAAAGTCTTACATAGTCCTGGAAGAGTCTTTTTCCTGCTGTCAGTCGGCCGTGATGCCTTTCTCTCTGAGCTCCTCTGTCACTCGCACCAGGTAAGTGGGGTCTGGGTAGCCAAAACTGTCAGGAGAAATAAAAAAGCCATCACTTCATCTGAATGAGCTCAGGCAGCAATAGTGCCATCTAGCCAAGGACATCAACTGAAAGCATTTCCTTGTCAGGAACTTGAATTACATCTGTCAGTCACATCTGAGCCTCTTTCCCTGCTACCTGTTGGGGAGGTTGTTGAGAATATTACCAAATCTAATCTCAGTGGCCATTTGCCTCCAGCTAAAAGCCCATACATACCAGCGGGGCCCGCCCCATAATGAGGTCTTGTGGTGAATGTCATTCCAGGTGATGACATTTTGCATGCCCGTAGTCATGGAGGTACCGATGGTGAAGATAAGGCGCTGTTCGAAGGCCCGGCGCAGCATGCCCAGCACACGATTCCCCTCAGGGCTGTCAGGGAGGTAGGCCACACGGTCAGTTCCTGGGTACCGAACACCTGGGTTGGGGTGTTCTGGCTGTTGAGGAGGTGTAGAAAACAGGATCAGTTTAAATGAATGGCTTAAAAATAAATGGTCTGTCTACTTGGATCTGGGACTCTTTGTCTCTACAGTGATTGTTTTGCCAAGGTCATGTCTTGTACAGTATTTTTAACTGCATTTGCTACATGCTTTTGTAAGAACTATGTTTGCAAGTGTTTTATTTTTTAAGAATCGTTTGTGACAATGCCTTTTTTGAATGCAGCATTTCCTTTTAATCCAAAACTATTTATCTGAATCTATTTCGTGAGGAAGGGGAACTCTACTGATTATTCACAAAACGGTCAGTTTGTAGAACTTCTCTGGGGAATTACTAATCAGCCTGTAATAGAGTTTCATTTGGTCTTGGGGAAGTGCATCGTAAAGTCCAAGACTAAAAGGTGCTGATGTCATCAGGGGTTATGTTGTCCTTGATAGAGTTTGAAATATGTTTCCAATTACGAGTCAGGAGCTAAAGAAAAAATATTTTTCTATGACTTCATATGAAATTGAGGATCGGGCAAATAGACAAGTTCGACCCATAACATTTATAAAATCATCGAAGATGCAATAGAGAATGCACAGTTCTTTGCATGGTTTCCTGCTGTTTCACAGATCAACAAGTGGCGGTAAAGTGCCAAGATGTGCTGCAATGGGCCAGAAAAAATGTACAGATACTAAACCAGCTTCAGAAAACAATCAATTTTGATGAATCTAGTTTTCTTCTTTGTATCACAAAATACAGGTCAATCAATTTGAGAGTGAAAGCTGGTTCAGTGGGCTGTACTACAAAGTGAGATTAGCAGGTAAGCGAGGTATATTGAGCCTTAAGTCACGGTTTTTGTTACGAATGTGGTTGTCCTTTTATCTGGCTAAATCCCCAAGGCAACTTGAGCACATTTTGCTAACATTTTATAAACCCATAGATGAATATATCAATGAGACTTAATGTCTGCATCTTCACATGGTCTACTCACTGCCTGTAGGCCAGGAGGGAAGCTGTAGATGATGCAGATACACCCGTAGCCGTCATGGCCAGGAAGCTCCAGATGAGGATCTCTCTCTACGATCATTGTACCGTTAGCAGGCTGGTTCCCAATCAACTGGCCATACACAAGCCTACAAACAGGACACGCTTTCTTCACCTTAAAGGCTTGATCCAGGCAAGAGCGACAGAATGAATGGCCACACCTCTCCAAGGTAGTCTTCTCCACTATGTCCCCCATGCATATTGAACATGTACCATTGTCCTCCGCCTCACTACGAGACGCCAAGCTGGAGTCAATGTCCTTCCTCTGGGCTGCCTCGTGGAGCATGGCACATGCCTCCTCATCTACAGGCTTCCTGAACTTCTGCTGCTGTCTCTGGGAGCGCCGAGGCTGGGGAGGTGGAGGCTGGAGCAGGCTCCCCTCCCCATTTGGTTCCAGGAGTCCCACACAAGGCAGCAAAGCCCTCTTCCTCTTGGGTCCCCCATCCTGTTTGCTCATTTCTTTGCGGGCACAGCGGCATAAGTCAATGAAAGCTTTTCGTGTCTCGCTGGAGATGGGTCCATCAATCACCCCAGCTCCACCGTTCCTGGAGCCTTCTACAGGCTGCAGCCTCACAGCGCAGCATCCCCCCCTCTCTCCTCGCCTGACGATACCAGCGTTCATCCCCTGCTTATGCTGGAAGTCAATGAGCCAGGGCCGCCCAGCTGCAGCCAGGTAATCCCACACTGCCTGTGAAACCAGCACCTCATCACTGCCCTGGCCAGGACGCACACTCATCTCATCAGAGGAAACTGCAAGGAGAGGCACATAAAAGTAATCAGCACATTATTATATGAACAAAAACACAACTCACTTGTTTGATCAAGCCTACATCAAGTTACAGAAGTTGCTCC